TGTTGAACCAAACTTGCATCCCTGGAAATCAGTTTTATCATGGTGTATGATCTTTTCAATATAATGTTGGATTCAATTACAGGTATTTTATTAAAGATGTTCACATTTATGTTCATCAAGGATATTAGACTGTATTTTTCTTTGTTGCTGTGTTCTTACCAGGTATTGCTGTGATTCATACTTAGCTTCATGGAGTAGAACTGGAAATGTCCCTTCCTTTTCTGTTGTATGAAATACTTTGAGAAGCATGGGTGTTAATTCCTTTTAAAAGTCTGGTAAAATTCAGTACTGAATCTGATATTGAGCTTTAGTGGGGGGGAGTTGCGTTACTCTTCCAACCTCATTGTTCATTACTGATTTGGTTAGGCTTTTTTATATACTCTTGTTTCAATTTTGGTATGTGTTAAATGGATAGAAATTTGTCCATTTCTTCTAAATTTTTCACTTAATTGAAATATAATTTTCAAATTAGTTCTCAAAGGTCCTCAAAATTTCAATGATATCAGACATTATTAGGGAAACAATTTCTTTCACAATAGTATCCAAAAACATGAAATACCTAGGAATCAATCTAATGAGACAAAAGACCTCTACACTGAAAATTACAGCACTCTGAAAAAAGAAAGCAAAGATGATATCAGAAAATGGAAAGACATGGCCTGCTCCTGGGTAGGAAGAACCAACATACTGAAAATGGCCATACTTCCAAAACTGTTATACAGATTCATTGAAATCCCAACAGTATAATTCATAGGGCTATAGAAAACAATACAAAAATTCATTTGGAACAGAAGAAACATAGAATAGCAAAGCAATTCTGGGCAACACAGACATGACAGGGGATATCACAATTCCCAACCTGAAATTATACTACAAAGCTACTGTGATAGAAACAGCATGGTACTGGCAAAGGAACAGACCAGAGGATCAGTGGAACAGATTAGAAGATGCAGAAACAACTTCAGCATACTGAGATACCTCATCTTTGACAAAGGAGCCAACCACCCTCAGTGGAGTAAAGATGGCCTCTAAATAAATGGTGTTGGAAAACTGGACTTCAATCTGCCAAAGATTAAAATTAGACCCATATCTTTCACCATGCACCCAACTAAAACTGAAGTGGATGAAAGATCTAAATATTAAAACAGAAGCACTAAACTTGGAAGAAGATAAGTTGGGTAGAACTCTTGAAGACATTGGCATTGAAAAAGACTTTTTTTTTTTTTTTTGGTACTAGGGATTGAACTCAGATCCTTGCACTTGCAAGGCAGGCAGCAGAACCACTGAGCTAAATCCTTGGCCTGAAAAATACTTTTTGAACAAATCCTCAGTGGCACAGGTACTTGCACAGAGAATCAATAACTGGGATCTTGTTTTATTTAAAAGCTTCTGCACTGCAAGAGAAAACACCAACAGAGTTAAGAGACAACCTACAATGTGGGAAAAATTTCTATCAGCTCCTCCTTAAACACAGGTCTACTACCTGGAATATATAAAGAACTAAAAAAGTCAGGCCCCTAAATATAAAGACCCAATTCAAAAATGGACGTCTGAAATGAACAGACATTTCTCAAACAAGTAAAAGCAGTAAATAAATATATGAAAAAATGTTCAACATCACTGGTCATTCGAGAGATGCAGGTGAAAACAGCATTGAGATTCTGCCTCACCCCAGAATGAATGGCTGCTACCAAAAAATCAACCAATAACAAATGCTGGTGGAACTGTGGGGAGAAAGGAACCCTTCTCCACTGTTGGTGGGAGTGCAGAGTGGTGCAACCACTGTGGAAACCAATATGGAGATTCCTCAGAAAACTAAGATTAGAGGTCCCATTTGACCCAGCTGTCCCTCTGCTGAGTACTTCCTAAAGGTATTAAAAGAATCATACCATAGCAATATATGGGCACCCATACTTATAGTGGCACAGTTAGTAATAGTTAAAACTTGGAAACAACCCAAATGCCCATCAACTGGAGACTGGATAAATAAAATATGATTTTTCTATAAAATGGAGCACTACTCAGCCATAGAGAATGAGAAACTAGAGTTATTTATGGCTAAATGGATGCACACTGAGGCCATGCTATTAAGTGAAATAAATAAGACACACATGTAAATATCAAATAGTTTTTCTGGTATGAAAAACTAAAACTTTAAATAAGGTTAAAATTGTATAATTGGTAATGTGAACTGGAAGAACAGATCCAAAGGACTAGAGGAAGTATCTGGAGTAGGGGAAAGAAAGAAGGGAAAAGAAAAAATATGAGGAAAGAAAATAGTGGAATCAAAATCTTTGTGAAAGGGAAGGGAGTAGGGGGTGAAGGGAGGGCAGGGACAAGGGGAAAAAATAAGAACCAAGATACATCATGTAAAGTTACAAGATCCCAATGATGAATGCAACGGTATTGTACACCTAAAACATACCAATAAACTTAATGAAAAAATAGATTTCAGTGATATTTAATATCTAATATTTAATATTGTCTTTAACATCTAATTTTATTTATTCTGTCTCTATTTTGGTAAAGGTTTTTGAATTTTGTTTTTCTTTTCAAAGAATCACCTTTTTGTTTCATTAATTCTCTGTATTATTTTTTTTTCTTTAGTCCATATTCATTTATTTTTTCTCTGATGTTTATTATTTCCATCTACTGATTTAGGGTTTGTTCTTGTTTTCTGAGCCTTGAGATGTATCATTAAGTTATTTATTTTAATCTCTGTCTTCCAGTGCAGACATCAATCTATAAATTTATGTCTTAGATCTGCTTTCACTGTGTCACACAAGTTCTCATAGGTAGTTTCCATTTTTCAGGGGTCCTAGAAATATTTATTTAGTTTCTGGCTAATTTCTGATTTCTTCAAAGACTTTTTTTTGAAAATGTGTCATTTATTCTCCATATGTTTGTATATATTTTCTGCAATTTCTCTTGCTGTTGGTTTCTGGGACTTTGTGGTCAAATAAGACATGAGAAATTATTTCTTTCTGTATATTTGTTAAGATGGGCTTTATGGCCTAAAGTATAATGTCTTGGACAAAGTTCCACGTACTCTTGAAAAGAATGTATAGTGTATGGTTGCAAGATGACATAATCTGTAGACATCTGCCACATCCATTTGAAGTATTATGTAGTTTGATTCTGCTATTCTGGGTTTTTTTTTTTCTGGAAATTCTATTCATTGGTGGCAATGGGATATTAAAGTCACTCACTCTTTATGTCCTTTAGTGGCTGATTTTTTAAATTCGAGCGCTCCTGTGCTTTGTGAATATATATTTATAATTTTTATACCTTCCTGATAGTGTGCTTCTCTTCTGGTTGACTTGCACTTGAAGTCTACTCACTGGATATGAGCATAACTATTCCTGTTTGCTTTCAGGTTCCCTTTGATTAGAATGTCATTCTTCCTTCTTTTACTTTACAACTGCATATGTCTTGCATATGTCTGCTAATGAGGTGAGTTCCTTGAAAACAGCAGTCTTGATTTTTAATCTGATCAGATGGTCTGAATCTTTTTGTGGGGGGATACCAGGGATCAAACTCAGGACCTGTGCTTTCAAGGCAGGCAGAGCACCAGTGAGCTAAATCTCCGGCCCCAACCTGCATCTTTTAATTGGAGACTTCACACCATTTTACTTTTAGGGCTATTACTAAAAGAAGCTACTCTCCTCCTCATTTTATTGTTTCTTTTTTATTGTCTTGAATGGTCTTATTTCATGTCTTTGTCCTTTATTTATCTTAGAAATTTGATGATTTACTGTATTAATACTGTTTGTGTGTCTCCTAATTCTCAATTACTGCCTGAATGTGATAATACATCAACTTCTCTTTAAGCCCTGATATTTTTTCTTCCACATAATGTAATATATTGGTGAAATTTCAACTGAACTTTTTATCTGAGGATTAAGCTTTTCTTTTTCAAATTTGATTATTTTTCAGAATTTCTCTTTATCAAATTGCTCTCATATTTTGTATTGCCTTCCTTAATTTATTCAATTTCCACTTGTATCCTTTATGAAGTTATTGATTCTTACCAAAAATCTTTGCAATTGTTTATCCAGGATTGTATCTGTGAGATATTTGGATTCTGTTACTGAATAGTTATGAAACGTTGGAGTAGTGGTGCTGCCTTGTTTTTCCATACTTTTTTTGAAATGTGTTTCAATTTGAGATTTGTTCCCCTACTAGAATAGATATAATATGCATAGAATGGATACCAAAGGTATCCAAGGTACCAAACCCCACGCTGGGGCACCACCTGTAGCCAACTCAGCCTGCCAACTTTGCTCTGGGACACAGACTCACTCCTTTGATCTCCCTGACCTGGAGGCGCACGAAGATGCATGACAAGGAGACACAGAATCAGTTCATGTGGGAAGCCAGGGGGCTCTGCCTCTAGCAGACGCAGCCTTTGGTTCACCTCACTTCTATTCACCCGAATACAGGCACAAGCAATCAAAGTAATACAAGATACACCTGCTTCCCAATAGCCATTCGTACATCTCGGAAACAACTCAAGCTCAGCTGTCTGCAGTACGCAATCACCACTGCATGCAGCCCTGCTCCTTTGTACTCACAGAGAAATCCAATTATTCCTTAATTCTCCTCAAGCCTCAGACAGCTCTCCCTTTTTGTTTTACAATAGCAGTTGAGTATCAATCACTACCTTTCATCCCTTAGGGAAGTAGGGAAGTAGCCTAACCCTTGCCTTGAGGTTTGGCCTTTAATGACCAGGTCTTCATCCATGTCTGCAATGTACCTGCACTGGCTCTTTTCGAAGAGCAAAGCCCATCTAACTGCCTAAACCCGCACAGCCGTCCGGCTCCGGAGAAGTGCGGCCAGCTGCTATGAGAGGCAATGAATGAAGCCGGTGCTGGCTTCTTCCTGGTAAAGGGGCATAGTTGTAATTAACAGTCAAAGTCATTCCCCAGAGGACCTATTCAAACGCCTCTGACATGCAGACCTGGCCTCAGTGATAGTTTTTCTACCTTCTAGATAGTTACCTTTCGTTGTCATCTGGGAGAAAGCTCTCACTTTTGAGGAAAGTCAAGTCACGTTCCTCCACCGATATCCATACCATCCGTTCATTTCCTGTGAGAACACAAATAAATTCAACACCCCACACCAGCAGGATGCTTCAATAACTGAAAGAACTAGTTTGAATCTTCGTTACTTGGGGCGTGCAGGCCATATCTCCTGCATCAAAGCCCTGTTCAGTTTCTTAAAAAAGAAACATAAACTATTTCCACATCATCCTTTTATTTCCTGCAACGGCACAGACAAAACTCCTGCCTCACAGTGGCAGGGTTCCCAAAGTTTCCACAAAAGATAAATTGTTGCCGAGAGTCAACAGCAAGCAAGCAGTACATCCTTCTTGCAATGCGTTATGCAGGCTTGAGAGAATCTTTTCCAACAAAACACATTCTATCCTTGCAAATGTTTTTCCTTAATTGACACAGCACTGACATAACACTCACACACTCAATTACCTTTAATTGACATAGTAATTCCCGAAAAATATTTATAATCTTTCATTTTAACACACCTTTCTTTAATTCTGAATTCACACTCAATTTCCTTTCATTGACACAGTAATCCCCAAAAAATATTTACAATTTTAACACACTTTCCTTTAATTCTGAATTCTGCTTTCATTTTAATTTCGAAATTTACCTTCACTTTAACTCTGAACTCTGCCCCATTGGCTCAGCTGAGAGGCTTCTGCATGCATTCATGTTTATTTTGCTTTTTCTTTTAATTTCTTTTCCCCACAGTGATCTCCCTAACAATACTTAAAATTCCTAATTTCAATAATACTGACACACATTTACATGATGCTGATACAATATACATCAGCCACTGGCCCGAAACATCCTGAATAATGAATACCTCCTCTTGGGAGGTATTGCCCAACCCCCTGTTTTACCCGGACCAGGGGCTCTAGTTTTCACAAAACGTAGAAAAATCAAGTGGGTGATATAATCTCCTTGTTCAAAGACCCGGGCACCATACAGATGAACTATAACCTAAATTCTCCCCAACGAGTCTGAATCAATAGTCCCAGGGTGTACTTCAACGCCTTGTAGGCTCAAACCATGTGTTCCTATGATTAAACCCATAGTACTTGAGGGAAAACGTCCCCAGACTCCTAAGAGATATAACAGGTTTATCTCTGCCAACCAAGGTCACCGGTTTAGCAGCACAAAGATCTAACTGATGAGGAAAAAATGCACAGCATGCAGGCCTTTGCACCCTGTGCCATGTTTTTGACATAAAATGTTCTGTTCAAGCGTGTAACTGTGCTGCAGGACATGTCTACTTCACGTTTCAAGCAAGTTCTATTGGTACAAATTCCAATGATGAATGCAATCATAACATATACCTAAAATGTACCAATAAACTTAATGACTAAAAAAATAAGAATGTTCTGTTAACTCTGCCCATCTGCCTCAATGAGCAAGTTCTCCCAGTAGGTGGGCTCATCCCCCCTACCCCACAGATCTCTGTATAAGGTGGCTTTTGTTTCTCTTCGGGGCTCAGACTAGAAGTATGAACTCCTCTGAGCCCACTGCTGTAATAAATGTTCCCTCCATCTCTCCAAGTGCTACTTGACTTCTTCACCTCCAAAAACCTTCAAACAGCCATAACACTTTGCTGTTGCACTTGCAAATCCAGTGCAGAGACTGGAAAATAGAATTGCCCAATTAATGAGTATTCTGACAAACTGTTCAGTCTTCACCAAACTGCACTATGAAAATGATGCCTTCATAAAAGGAAACTGTTAAACCAAGCCAATGTGAAGCCTACTAATCTGAACCTTTTTTCACTTCCCTTGGTATTACCCACAATCTTAATCTCCTAGCACATTCCTCTTTATGTGAGAAGAGTGTGTCTTTCTACGCAAGCTACACAATGACATAGAGTTTTCTTCAACTGTTTCCTTAATCCAGGGAAGAATACACTAGTTCTCAAAGCAAAATTCTAGTTATCCTTAAATTCTCAGCTCCTGCGGGGTATCTTAGTTTTCTGGATAAAAAAAGAAAAATTTGTGACTGTTTTTCTTCTTACTTACCAACTATAGTCAATATTCTTTAATTTTAATTAGAAGTTTGTCGCGAGCCGCAACTTCAGAATCCTGCCAGCAGGTCCGAAACCCAAGGGAGGAACAACAGGAGAGCAGTTTCACGAACTTAGTTCCAGGCTCATGCTCTACCGTAACAAGGTCCCGTTTATTTTTCAGGGTGGGGTATATATAGGCTAAAACCGAAACCAAAGGTGTAAACAGTTATACTCTTCAGCTGCATGGGAGCGAGAGCTGCACGGGAGCGAGGGCTGCACGAGAGTACCGCCCACACATCCCAGAGGGAAACAATAACAACCATTATGGGTTACATCTGCTACCAGCTGAACTTGCCCGTTGGTATGGACGACAGCACATCCGTGCCGGTGAGGTGACTCAAAGTTCAGTCATGGCTAGGCCTGTGTCAAGACTCACCATGATGGCTCACCAAAGAAGTTGGTTTTAATTTTACAATTTAAACAGATCTAAATGAAAGAACAGATGTACTTTGACAGATAAATCATCTAGTTAAATTCCTAGACTTTGAAACCATTCTGCCTGGGTTCTTTGAATTTCCATTTGTTAGCTATCAACAAATTATTAATTTTACTTTTCGTCACTTTTCTCAGCTGAAGAAGGAATATAAAAAATACTACCTATCACTTCAGATTATGGTTAAATATATATAAGAGAGAAAGAGCTTGGAACATTCAGTAAACACCATGTACCTGGCTATAATTTCCCAAAGTTCTCCATATATATAACTATTAACAGGTGTAGTTAAGGTGACTGACGGACCAAGCAGTGCAATGGGGTCCGTTATCCCCTCCTCTCAGTCCCTCAGAGTATGTTTTTGTAGAGGGCTGATTCTTTATTATTTATCTTTATGGGGCTACTTGTTGGAGTATTTTCTCCCAATCCCTCTTCATCAAAAAACCAAAAATGACGTCCTTTTCATTAGGTTCAATCTATATTTCCAACACAATGTCTGAAGGTCATAGAAGGTCCTTCACTGTTCCAGAAAAGGTCCAAACCCCAGCACACCTCTCCTACATGAAGAAACAGAAAGCTATTTGTTCAGGGCTGAAATGCTGAGCAGCAGAGATTTGGAAGGGATCCAAGAACTAATGAAGAGTGCTTGATTTTTAGTGCCCTTTAACTCCATCTCTTGATATCATTTTCTCTTTGTTTTCCCAAGATTTTGTCTATTTCCTGCTTGTAGGACATTCCACATTCTTTTTTTTTTTTTTAACCAGGGATCAAACTCTGGACCTTGCACTTGCAAAGCAGGCAGGAGAACCACTGAGCTAAATCCCTGGCCTGACATTCCACATTCCTGAAAAGCTTAGGTATCGTTGCCCTGCCAACCTACCCTGCTCTCCAAATCTTGAGACTAAGCTGGCAAACTGACTATAAGTAAAACAGACACCTTCTATAGTTTACACAGTACTGTTAACATTTTAATTAACTGGCAACATGTAACATTAGTGATATTTCACCTAATGATTATTTAACTTTAGCTTTCCCTAAAAAATTGGATTATTTTACAAAACTGAATTCTGTGTCCTTCATGGTAATTATGGCAGAAGCTGCATATGACTACATCATGTCTGCAGGTCTCTTAATTCTCTGCCTACACGCTGTACTCGTGTATGCAGCCTACAGAGGCCCTTAGAAGTTCTCAATTGTTTAACCCTACAATTCCTTCCTTCCTTTTCTTTTTTGTTGTTTTTTCTCCTCTGCTTCCTTTTCCTCTAATAATTATCCTCTTCCTACCCCGTCTCTTCAGATAACTGAATAGCTTCAAGATCTACAATTAGGAACTGCCCCTGAGGAAAAGATACAAGTGAGACATCTCTTAATTCAAAGCTTCAGTGACACTTGATTCAAGCTAAAAGAATCTTCAGACACAGAAGGGGTACCAGATGAGGTAAGCCACACAGGTTTTAACATGTGATAGGCTACAAGAACCATCTCCATGTTCCTTTATTTTCAAATGTGTCATCCCTGACTAATTTCACATCTCCAACTGGAAGAAAAGAGGTAGCAGCATCACTATTAACCACAATGCCATGTTCTTCAGAAACTGTTGAAGAATTGTAGACCTTCTTGCCTCTATAGTTGCCTAATTATTGCTTTCATGAACCACTTGTACCATCATCAGTCATGGCACTGTATCACCCATCCTGCTGTGGGTGGATATTGACGACCTACAGCTCTTTCAAAGGGCATTACTGAGTTTTGTGGATGGTGACCATAAGATGAGTATAGCTAGAATATTAGAGACCCCTGTCGTGGATCCCAATGTTCTGGTCAGTGCTATGATGGATGGGGAGAAGAAAGACATAGAGACAGAGTTAAAGAGACAGAGAAGAAAACCGGGATGACCAGTGCTTGAGCACTCAGAGGCTTGAACAAGCAAAGGTCCTGAACCCAGAGCCATCAATATTTATTGGTGACTTCATATTCATATCGAAGCATAGAGGCTGTGTGGAGGGACTGTGTGGAGTTGCTATGGGTACGTTGCTGATGCAGGCAAGTCTTGTAAAGAAAAGGCAAAGCATTCTTGAATTAGGAACAAAACAGACAAAATATAAGTTGTGATTAATAATTAATGTCGTCTTTTTAGTAAAGAAGGTTTTAACTTTGGGAACGGAATTTGGGTGCGAGGCTCTCTGACCTCGACACATAGGCTGCAGCCAGACTCAGCTTTACAGACAAGCCCGTCGTGAGGCTAACTCTTTTCAGCCTCTGCTGCTCACAGCCTGCTTTAGGCATATTTAATAGAGTGGTCCACTAGAGCATGAAGACAAGTATGAATAGTGTTTTGCTTTGCAATCAGTTAAGTTTACTATATAAAATCCACAGCAGAAAAGCATAAAACAATACCTCTCCCAACAAAGTCTCTGGAGGCCATAAACATAGCACTTCTACAGTGTGATTTCTTTCAATGTTGACTGTTCCTTGAATCGACTATACCATAAGCAGGGATAATAGGCAAAAGGACTACAAATAGAGGAAAAAGAACTGTTTCATTCTCACAAGAGAAGTCTTCTCAATTGTTTTACCCTCCTCTTCTTTCTTGTTGTTTCCCAGTTTTTTCTTCTCTTCTTACTTAGCCTTTAATAAATCTCCCCCATACCTTCTCCTTTTTCTTTTTCTTCTTCCTCCTTCTCCTTCATCTCTTCTGATGACTCCTTGTGTGGTGCCATAAGACAAACCAGGGTGAATAAAACATCATCACATCGTACAGATGCAAGAGTGGATATCAACTGAAGGGCCATTGTGTTTACGTAGAACTACCCGCTGCCTGCACAGAGATAAGCATGCTCCATCAGAACTGTCCGATAAGCACATGGGTTGGCCATCCTGGGTCCTCTGTGAGGATACCCAGAAGATAAGTAGTACCCATGACACCCTTTCCCCACCCTTGTGTGCTACAGACTTGAGGCAGCACATACCTGCTATCACACAGTTCAACCCCGGAATGAGTAGTAAATGATCAGTAGCCCAAACACCTGAAATTGTCCTGTGACTTGTATAAATGAGGAGATGTCAGCACCATTTTCCAGGGCCAACAAAGAGAAATCCCAGGTTGACCAGGGGGAGCAATTTGCTCTGCTCCATCGTCCACAAACTGGTTCCTGGCCAGGGGGCCTTGGGGTGTCACAGAGATGAGGGTCTCCGAGCCCCTTAGGAGTATTTTATCTACTGTTGTTAAAATGGAATGGGGTGTAGCGGGTGGAAGAGCATCCTGCAGAAGAAAAGCAAGGGCAAGGGCTCCAGGCACCTCACCATGCCGGCACTGATGGCCCGTCCAGACCCAGGCACCAAAGACACTTTTCTTGCTTGAGGCTGTGGACAGTATCTGCCATCAGGCATCCCTCTGGAGGTATTTCTCAGACTCTTAGGGAAGGCTAAAATTTACTACAACTTGGTGCTGTGGTCATTCTGTGGGTCACCAGAGAAAACTTGTGTCTTGTTCCATTCTTCCTGGGTATTTATTGTTACTGCATAAACTGATTTTCTTCTCACTTAATATTAACAATTGGACAGGGCACAATCATCTTTTAAAATCTGGAAAACATCCCTCCCTTAAAAGTCCCAAACCATAATCTAGACCATAAGATCTGGAGTTGAATAAAGCTTTAAGAACAATTTGAGAATAGAGAAGGGACTTACCACATAAGAAAAAGTAAAAAAGAAAAGAAAAGATTAAGGATTTGTGCTCTTATTATCTCTGGATCATATGCAAACCCAGAATTCTTTAGGGATAATTGCCCTGTTATTTGAGATGAACACAGGGTACGTGCCAGTGAACAAATGTTAGTTGAGTGACTGAAAATTTAAGGAATTCAGGCTTCTTCCCTTCAATGAGAGAGTTGTTGACTATCTTCTTCTTACCCTAGAATTCATGCCCGCAAGCCTAAACATCTTAATTCTCCTGTAAAGAGCATGGGCCATACTTGGGCCACCACACAGGATAGACATTACTCCCACAAGCTCAGTTCTGTCCACAGTGAATATGATTTATTTCATTATTGTTCACAGACGTTTAGCTCCCAGCTTCCATTCTAGAATCAAGCTTCATATTTACCCTTAGACACACAAAATCTTATTGGAAGTGTTTTTTTGAAATTCCAGCAACATAAATTTTGACATTATTCTCTTTTTCCTACTTTTTTCCCTTGGTGGACCTCCAGTATTTCAATGGCTTGATAACATTAAAATTTTAAGTTTCTAGGACCGGGGATTTAACTCAGTGGCATCTCTCCTGCCTCACAAGCACAAGGTCCTGAGTTCAATCCCCAGTACAAAAAAAATTTTTTTTAAATTTCTGGATATCTCTGACCAGTTGGCAGCCTCAGCAAACTGTTATATTTTCTAAGTAGAGTCACCTGACTGCCATATGATTTTTCATTTATTAGACAGTGGGCACTTTGTCTCTTTGTCCATTCTATTTAGAGTTTGCTCCTTGTCATAGCTCTTGTGACTGGTCAAGGATTCTGGTCCCGTCTACACCTTTGTCCACCTTGGAAACCAGACTCTCAGTCACCACATACATTCTGTTGCCATTAAAACCATTAAAATTTCTTGTTTAGATATCTAGGAATAAGGCAGCTTTCATTTTCCAAAACTTATGCGTATTTAGAATTCACAACCTACTAATCACGCTTTCTTAATTACTTGGCTGATAAATGCCACGCTGGTAAGATTTTTAAGCTTAATTTACTATTAATTTACATTTAGACTTAGTTTAAAAATCTACTTATAAAATTCAAAACTCTACAGAAATTAATTATTAGAGTCTATACTGATTATGCTTCATTTAACCTCTTTTTCAAAGATTATGGTTTTGTTTCTCAATGACCTTTGTATCTTTATAGTTAACTGTTTAAATAAAATAATCATGCTGCCTAAGACCACTTAAAATGAATCCAGTTGTACAAAGGGAGAGCAAATGAATAAATTATTTTAATGTCAATTGACAAATAAAGCCAGAAGTCTCTAAATTTACGATGAACTCTTCAAATTGTATTTGACTAATTTTAAGGAAGATCAAAAAGCCAAGAAATATAATGTTCCAGGTTACCATAAAGCCCTATGTAATTAAAGAAAGCATGCAGTTAGCTTTGTATTTGTTTAAATAAAAGTAAAATATTGACCTTCCTTTCTAGCTGCAGACTGCTGTTAACCTTGCTGGGAAAAGGGTGATGATTTTTAGAGTTATGATTGTTAATGGTCTTTGAATGCAGCCTGCACCGGCCTTTAACTCCCTGGTGTACAGTATGGTGCAGCCTTTTCCAGATGGGAAAATGATAAGGACACCAGGAAGATAGCAGGTCATTCTTGGGCAGCTGCCAGAAACGTGGAGCAAAATGAATCATGTCAAGCTGCGGTGCTGTAGCCAGCATTTTTCTGTTTTAATTTATCAAGCCAAAGCTTGTTGACATGAAAGTGAATGAAATTGTTATACAGTGGGCTCTAAAAAGCCAGCTCAAGGGTTTAGTGTAGAGGAGCTCTGGCCATAAATAACGGAGAAAATGCAGGGAATGCTCTTTCTCCTGCTCTGTTGTTGGAGATGCATCAGTAATTAACTCAAATCCCAGGATCAGCTTCAGCTGGGAGAAGGCCAGTGTTGCAGACGCTTCATGATCTGCTGTAGATGATCACCAAAGGGCTACTCCTCGAACTCATCGTTTCAGTGTGTTGATGTGTGGTGCTGTATTTATTGTTTATCAAATATAATGAAGAAACTGACAGGATGACGAAGCATTATTGATACTGCTAGAAGAGTGACTGCAACGAGAAAAGGTTAAGACCATCTTGCCCGAAAGAAAAAATTCTTGCAGTGACTTGTCCTATGAGAAAAGTGAAATAAATCACTTTTGAAATAAATCACTTTTTTAGCTGTCTGAATAAAATCTCTGCATTTAGCCAACGCTTATAAATCAGGTATTACAGCAAAAACAAGATATCTACCAATTCCACTGTGAGTGAAAGGCAAAACTAGCTGATTGGAGTGATATTTAACATATGTGCATTAAGGGGAAAATGTTCCTAGCTGATAGCACGTTTGACATCTCAGACATCTATTCAGGATTCTGTATGTGTGGCTCTTGATTAAATATTTATCTTATTCAAGAGTGTTCCATGCACTATAAAGAGAGGCAGTAGAATCTGTCTCTTGTCTTCTGAGGATGGACTAGGATAATGTTTTCATTACACAATATGGAAACCTATAGAGACTAAACAATCTATGCTCTTTGAGTTTATTAATTTCTTCATAATTTGGTGAATTTATTTTTGTGATGTACAAAAAATATTTATTGATTACCTGCTTTGTGCAATACAGTGCAGAATGTTTTATAAATTTTACAAATTGATGGAACAAAGGAATCATTAAGCATGGCACCTACCTCTTCTAAC